CGGCTACGAGCACCAAGACCTGGCTCCAGGGCCGGACCTACAGCTGGCGCCAGCAGCCACGAAATTACAGGAGGCAGACATGCTGCTGAACCTGCCGCGGCGAAACCTGCCCCAAGTGGAGCTGGTAGCTGGACGATCACAAACGACTGCCACATATCAGAGCCAGACCCGGCCGACAGGGACGAGACCCACCTCCACCACCACCTGCGGGTAACCCTGCTGCACGCCCACTACTCCCAGACTGGTCAAGGTTCGATGTCCAAATCAGTTTACAGAACCTACGATGCCTTGATCCAAGCGTGGTAGAACGCGAGCTGCAGAAACTACACTTTCGATGGTTCCATGCTAAAGAGCTTACGATGAGACTCATCTTAACCAAAGCTGGTCTGGACAACGTCAGGCTTAACCTGATCAAAGGTGTCGGTGACACATGTCGGGAGCGCAGGGCTTGGGACAAGCCAGGGCATAACGGTCATGCCATCTACTGCAAGACCTGGCAAGTTTAAAGAAGAAGTCGAATGCGACCTGATGTTCTACAAATAGGAACATAAGATATTTGACATCATTGATAGCTGCAGTCGATATGATACTGGAATGGAGATACCAGATCAAACAATGACTAGTATCTTAGATGCGTATCACCAGTGCCGGATGCAGTTCGGACCTGCCAAGGTACTCTACTCAGATGGGGAGGGCGCCCTTAACAACGACACAGCTAAGGCAGTCCTCAAAGCAAGGGGCATCGAGTTAAAGATACGCGCGCGTGGACAACACGCTACGACAATTGAAGCCAGAAATGGCATTTACTTCACGTCATGGAAACTGAACTCAAAAGTTAAGACTTACGTCTTGCATGCACACGACTGCTGCATGACGCTTTGTTTGCCGCCAACGCGCTCACCTTCTACAACGAGGTGTCTCTATGCAACGCTCTGTTTGGACGGCAACGAGCAATGTTTCGTGACTTGCCTGTTCTGGACCATGAGCAGCCGACAGAGACATCTGATCATTCCCGAGCACAGGTGATTCGCCAGGCATGCATTGAAGCTATCACACAAGCTTCTGCACTAGCCCAGACCAATCGCGCATTACGATGGAGACTCGGTCGGTTATCATCGCCCCACAACTACAAAAGACGACTGGGGAGGCTGGAATGGCCCTTTTCCCGGTTGCACGGAACAATCCCGACAGGGGTCAAGTCATTCTTCGAGTGGGAAACCGCAATATACAAGTCCAATACGGCGACGCACGACATTCACTATACATCGAAGCGTTGGCGGCCCCAGGGGTTGGTTCTGACGGCGCGGCGTCGCGGACAGCGCTGACATTTGTTGCTAGTCAACCCGCGGGGGGGCCTGCCACAACGTTTGGCTGTGTCCCGACCAGAAAAGGGAACGCTTCAGATGACAAGTGCGAGCCGACTATCTCCTTGGGCACACTTAGCTCTACAATACTTGATCCAGAACTTCTTTCGCATCGAGAATGTATTCTCTGTTAGGTTGGCTAAGAGTATCCAGAAGCTACCTCCCGTGGTTTATGCTGACAACTGCACATTGGTACATTATGACAAAGACGTGAACCCAGGCATCCACTACGATGAAGCAGATGGACTGCCCTGAATATACATGATACAGCTGGATCAGCACATTCGAGGATCATCCAGTGCCTAAAGTCCACAAAACCTCATGCGGGCTTCGACCAAGACATGACGAAGTCTGAGGGACTGGCGGACATACCGACACAAGGCAACAACGCCAGAGAAGCCCCAGAAGCCGAACCACCACAGGAGGATAGACGGCTCGCTACGATCCATGAGGAATCAGAAGCGGACCTTGGCACAGATTATGGAAGTGCGGTACACAGAGCTACATGAAGAAAGGGCATTTCTGGAGGCAGCTCAATTATATGATCTTTACATTGTACTCACACATATGATCACTGACAACAGTGCGATGGTCACGGTAGCTGATGAACAGCGGGGGCACCTGCCTACGCGGGGCCATCCACACGACTCCGACATAGGAGACGTATCATGTCCAATTATGTTCCACGGACGAAGACCATAGTTACGGACTGGATTCGGGCGAGAACGGTCAATATATAGAGCTCTGTTCTACTGCAGAAGTGTCAAAGGTAGTCCGATCCGAACAAAACGTAGGGTACTAGATTTCGACCGCGTGACCTCCGTGCGAGTACATATAACCGCCGCCGCAAAACGAGCTGCGACCGTCCTGGAGGGCAACCTCCTCACGGGGGCCGATATCCAGGCGAACCCAGTTAAAGGATCAGAGGCCCTATATATATATAACTCAAGACATGGTTTGACAGCATGTGTTTCAAGATGCAAGATATATCCAAAGCGTCTGACATCATGATTTCGAGGTACATATAAGTGGAAGTTCGTAAACAACGAAAAGGGCGAGCTGGAACGCACAATCGGACTACGCCTGGTACTTCGGGGCTTCATGGACCTCGAGGCTTTCGATGTGGAAGCATTCTCGGGAACGGCACGGCGGCCAAGTCAGCGATTACTCGCAAGCACAGCAGCGTGCAAGAAGCAATGGCTCATTGCTTCCCTTGACATCAAATACCTACCAGGAACTCGCTGAGGAAACCGGTGAAAAGGAACGTGCGGCGTGCTTTACCTTGCCGCCTAGACCGGCATCGGTGCTTCGATCCCTCCCAGGGTTCGAGCACTACGATGAGTCGAAGCATTGCTTACAGTGCCTCAAGCCAGGCACCGGCACCAAGGATGCACCCAGAGCCTTCTCACCGAAGATCAGAATGACCACGAGAGGCTTTGGTCTCAGTTCCACGTCCTACGACGAGGAGTTTGACACAAGCAGCAACCTTCTCACAGCCAAGCATGTTGATGATATGAATATGGCCGGCACTGAGGACACCATCGAAAGGTAGGTCAAGTAGGTCGAGGACACTTATGGTAAGTGTAAACTTAACAAAAACACATACCAATTGTGCTTTGAGATCCACAAAGGACGGGGACGGTACTGTTACGCTGGATCAAGGTGAATACATCATACAGCTCCGTCCCATACAACATCCCGAACTCACAGGCGCAGACGCCGACGCCAAAGCATCAAAGATGGTTGCTGACATGTTTGTCAGCCTCAGAGGCGCGTTGGCTTACGCATTAATCACACAGGTGCGGTTGATGGTATATTTGGCCCCTCTGGAACGTGCCCAGGAACCGACCACCATACAGGTGCGACGACTGAACGCGATTACCAGGAAGCTGCAGGCCTGCCCCTAAGAAGATCGTCTATTGATCGATGACTCCATCGGGCGAAGTCGACCTGCATAGCGACTCCGGCTACCGACGCCTGCGTGAAGATGCCAACGACAAGGGCAAAGGCCATGGTACTCGCGGGGAAAACCTGCTACGGTGTGGAAACACGCCAACTGGCACGCCTGTCGCCCATCTGATCGATGCGCACTGCAAGTCTCATCGCTTGCAGGTCCGCTCAAGCTACTCAGCAGAAACACTAGCAGCAGCCCAAGGCTTGGAGGGCTGCTATCCCACGATCGCTACTCTGCACGAACTCCACGCATGGCCACTGACACCTACTCAGCTGAAGGATATATTGGAGATGGGTGGACTGAGCATTAAGGTCACTTTGACCATGGATGCTGAATATGTCTTCCAGTCCTTGTCAAGCAAAGACCTATACATTCAAAAAACCGAGTGTACTCTTTAGGGGCACATCAGTTGGCTACGACAAATGATGGAGCGAGGAATCGTGCATAGTATCCAGTGGTGTGACACTCGCGACATGACCGCGGACGGTCACACAAAAGGGAGCATTGACAGAGAGATGTTCCTACAGGTCATGGGAGGAACGCAATCCTTCAAGCATGAATCAAAACGTCATACTCATAACCAGGTTGGCCAGACAACATCGTCTGAGGCTGCCTGAGGAGTACTCGCTTGCACAGCGATTTGCTCGCAAGGTAACTTGCGTGCAGCGGCACTTGCGTGCAGGTTCACCTTCCTTTCGAACCTGTTTGTTGCTGCCTTGTGTTTACTGTATAGGGGCAGCGGACTCACGTTTCGTCTCCCCCTCCCCCCGATTCTAAAGTGAGTTGGGACAACGGCGAGAGATAGCGAGCGTTTGTCCGTGGCCGCTTGGACTCAAGCGGCCGGCCGCCAACAAATGACTGCGCCTCATCGCGAGGCACACGACTTGCCATCGAGACCGAAAACACCTTCGCTTGAGATGGCCCGTCGCTCCCGCGACGACCTCTTCCGATTGGGACTATCGTTACTACGGTACAACAGAACTGGAGCTGGGCTTCGCCTAATGCGAAGCTGCTGGTTGGGCTTCCCGGCCCCCTTCAAACTGGGCCTCCTGCGTCAGTTCAGGGCCGTGTGTGGGCCATCTTGAAGGCCTTTGGGGCCGTCTTGTGACGACGACTGCCCGAAAAGGCAAGAACTCGAGAACCGCTGAAACGCCGTAGGAAAATCCATGAGCTGTCCCTCTTGGGGCCTTCTTGGGTGTTCTCCGGGAACGCTCTTGGGCTGCTTGGAACGATAGTGGGCTGTCTTGAAGCGCTCTGGATCCGTCTTAGGACCCATTAAAAACCTTTTTGATGCCATCGTCGGCCCTCTTGGAGCCATGTTTGACCATGTTATCACCCTCCTTGAGCCAGTTCCTCTCTTGCGTCTTCTGGAACTCCTTTGGGGGCACAGAAAAAATCAAAAACAACAAAAAAAAAAAAAAAAACAAAAAAAAAAAAAAAAAAAAAAAAAAAAAAAAAAAATGTCGGGAACTTCGCAGGTGGGGAGCCCCAGGAGCCGCCCCGCGCGCGCCAACTAGAAATATTCTGGAGCCCTTACTGGAGATTATCGCACGCCTCTGGCCCGTTGGGCCCGCGAATACTTGGACGAGCTCCTCGATTGTTTGGTGCTCGTTGGTCCATGCGACTCCTCCATTTTCGCGCGTAATTGCAAGGGTTGCACGTTCTGGCTGGCCTGCAGGCAGTTGCGAACTAGGGACTGTGAGAGCTGCACGTTCTACCTCCACTCGCACACCGAGCCTGTGATCGAGAGTTCGTCCGACTTGTCCTTTGCTCCCTTTGCGGCCGAGTACCCTGGGCTGTCCGCGCACTTCCAGCAGGCAGGGTTTGACGCCAGCAGAAACTTCTGGAGCGCCATCTTCGACTTCACCGGTCGCGCCGACGGCGCGAATTGGAGCATACTTCCGCTGGACAAGTGCGAGAAGCTGGTGGTTGCGTTCGAGCGCTGCTCCGACCAGCCCGACGGCCCCGCGCCGGAGCTCACGCATCAGCTGCTGATCGCGCCGCCGCCGCGGGCCACCGAGGGACACGGCAACTCGCTGACGGCGATCCCGCAGACTCGGCCGCCCGCACCGCCTCTGCCTGTGCGCTCTGGGCCACAGAGGCGGCTTGTCTCCGACGACGCCAGCGCAGCGCGCTGGGGCACTCTGGAGCCCCTCGCCGAGCCGCCCACGCGGCCAGGTGGACTCGTGGCCGCGCCTGCGCCGGAGGAGGCGGAGGAGGAGGAGGTGTGAGGCCGATGCTAACGTGCCGAATGGCACGCCAGCGGCTGTCGCGGCGGCGCGCGGATAAGCGGGCACTGCGCGTGGACTCGGGCCAGCGAGGATCGGCATGTTGGTGCGAGTGCGTGTCCTCGCACGTCTGCGTTCACAGGCACGCGTGCGCAGAGGTACGGAGCGCATGTGGGCGAAGGAGTGCCCAGGAGACGCCGGGCCTTGGCACACATCTCCCCTACCTTTTCCTGCTCCAAGTCCTCCGTGGCCTTCTCCTAGTCCTCCCAGTCCTCCTCCTGCTCCCCCTGCTCGTCATCCTCCGCCTCCTTGTCCCCTTCCTCCTTTTTTTTCAATGTCGAAGTCATCCTCTTCCCCTCAGTCCTACTCCTCCGCTCGTCCACCTTGCTCTGATGCCCCGTCCCCACTTCCTATCAAGGGCGTGGCCATTCGTGGCTGGCCGATCCGGTTCGATCCTTGTTTGCATCCTCCGCTTTGCTGTCGCCCTCCTCCTTCCTCGCTCTCCTCCCCCTCCTCCTCGTCCTCCTCTCCCCCCGTCCTTCTTCCCCATAACCCATTTCTCAGCAAGCCTGTGGTCAGGACGGGCCAGGCGTTTCGCCAAAGACACCCTCACATGTTACTACTTTCAAGTGTGAACTTTCCAACAGTTACACGGATGGAGGGAGGGTGGCTTTCAAAATGGAGTTCTCGTCATGGCGCCATGCACATTCGTCTTAAACGGATCTAACACTTACGCGGATGGAGGTCGGGTGGCTTTCGAAATGGGGTTCTCGCGATGTTGTCGTGCATACGCGCTTCAAAAAATAAGCAGCTGCTACACGGATGGAGGGCGGGTCGTTGTCAAGATGGGGCTCTCGTTTTGGCGCCGTGCACATTCGTCTCAACAGTTTTTATCCGCTGAACGATTGGAGAGATATCCTCAAAATGGTGCTCTCGTCAGAGACTTCTTCTGAAATTGTTACCGAATTGCCTTCGGCCCATCCCGCAAATTTGCCTTGGTTGTGGGTATGAAGCCTATTGGATGTTCTTTGGGATCTCGTGGGAGGCTTCTCGGGGGCCTCTTGGAGGCAGTTTGGACGCCTCTTGGGGGCCGTTTGGGTTGGGCCTCTTGGGGGCCTCCCAGGCGCCTCTTGGGGCTTCATGGGGGCATCTTGGAGCGGAAGGCTCGGATTTTCGGTTCGTGTTCCCTCTTTGGGGCCCCTTTGGGAGCCGTCTTGGGGCCCAGTTGGGCCGTTTGGGGCACCTCTTGGGCTGTTTCTGGGCCCTCTTGGGCCGGTTTGGGGCCCTATTGGAGGTCTCTTGGCGGTCTTGGGGGCCTCCAGGGCCGTCTGGGAGCGTCAGGGCGCCGAAATGGCGAGAACGCCAAAACTTAGGCAAAGCAATGATTCTGTCCTCTTGGGGCCCTCTTGGGGGGCTTGGAGGCCTCGTTGGGCGTATTGGAGGCCTCTTGGGCCGTCTGGGGGCCATCTTGGGCGTCTTGGAGCGATCGTTCGGGGACTCGTGGCCTCATTGGACCGAGGCTTCTTGGGGCTCTCTTAGCCCGCCTTGGGGCCCTTTTGGGCCCGAAAGAGTCACGCGACAGACCGCGCCACGCCCTGGGAGATTTGGGCCGAGGGGCTACGAACCCTTCTAGCTTCTCAGGAGTGATTCCTGAAGCTTAGCAGGGTAGTGAGAGGACCTGAGGACACGCCCACTCCGTGCCAAGAAGCACGGTGGCTGATCACAAGTTCAAAATTGCAACGCAGCTATACGAGCCGAGCCCGGCTCCTTTCCAAAGTGGGAAAGGATTATTGCAGGGACCAGCGAGGAGGGCACTTGGGAGAGGGGTGTTTATTGCAGCATCGTGGATACATATTGGGTTTATTATGGTCCTAGTCCTCCGCCCCATCCTGCTTATCATGTCTCCGTAAGTGCGTGTCACGTCAATGTTGCTGAGGCCCCAGTATCCAGTCCCCTCCTGGTTGCTTCGGCAAGTGGGGGGACCTGGAAACCTCGCCAGGACCAAGGGCAGGTTCTCGGGACTCTGGGGGGGCAGGTTGTTGGAGGTCGGGATGTTTTCAGAGGTTCCTGGGGCTTATGGGGAGGTCTGCAATGGTCTTGGGCGGTTCTATAGGGCCAGCAAGAAGATGGGGCAGTGAGAAGGAGAAAAAACAAGAGCAGGAAGAGGAGGAGACGGAGAAGGAGGAGGGGGAGAGGAGGAAGAGGAGGAAGTGAAAAGTAGAGGAGAAGGCTTTCCGCCGCTTTCCCCAGCCCCACAAAACGACGTTCCCATTACTTAGGACATGACAAATATGAGATTGAGCGTGAACTCCGGCGCGGCGGGGCGGAGTGTCAATTGTGGGGGGGGGGCCAGGGGAGGGGGAGGGCGTGAGAACCTAGCGTCGCTGCCGTGCCCAGTTCTGGTGGAGCGACCCTGGAGTGGCCAGCGTGGGGCAGTCGTGACGCGGCAAGTGGGTGGGGGGTGGGGGGGGGGACGCGCGGGGGGCGGCACGGGCGCGCCTACCGCGGCCTGCATGGGTCGCAGGGGCAGCACGCACGGAGCCAGCCAGGGCAGCACCGACCGGCGGGGGAGCACGCGCTGCGGAGGAGGGCCCGACGCGCCGAGCAGAGGGGGCGCCTTCCGGCAGGGGGAGCCAGCCGGGGGCCCAGGGCCGGGCGCGTCGGCCGCAAGTGGTGGGCAGGGCCGGCACCGCGGGGGTGGGCCTCGGGAGCGGGCTGCGGGGGCCAGGCCCTCACCCGCAGCGGCCGCCGGAGCGGCGAGGGGCAGGCGTGCAGGCCGATGGTCGGGCGAGGGAGCCTGTGCACAGCCGCTGCGCCCTGGCCAGGCCCATGCTGAGCCCGGGAGCTGTGCATCCGCCCTCGTGGCCACGCCAGGAGAGCGTGGCGCATGCACCGCTGCTGGGTTCAGGATGGGCCTGGCCAGGGACCAGCGGATGTGTGTAGATTTCGTCGACCTAGATGGGCGGCGCCTGGTGGGAAGGGCCAGCGGGGGGGCGGGGCAGGTGGCCGCAGGGGGGGGCGCCCTCGGGAGGCGGCGTCGCGTCCAGCGGCAGGGTCAGCCGCAGAACGCGAGCGAGTCCTGCGCAGCCCGGCGTGTCCCGGGCGCGCCTGTCGGCCGCGTCGCCGTGCGGGGGTCAGGTGGGGCATCAGAGCGTTGCGGGGCCAAAGACTGCATGAAGCGGGATGCACCGCTGGCCGGACCAAAAGTTGCGATTCCATCCCGTGCGAGCAAAGCGGTCGCCGTCCACGCCTCGGGCGGGGGGAAGGTTTAAGAGGTTTAGGCAGGTTCAGGCGGTTGAAAGAGGGTTCAGGAGGGCTTACAGTCAACCCGCATAGTAAGGATGAGCGATTTTCCAAGGTTTCCCATGCAGCCTTGTCCCTTCGGCCCAGCCTTGGTAACCTTCGCTGGCCAACCTCGTTCGAGAAACGTCGACATGGCCCTCCAAGGCCCTTGCATCCTTGCCGCGCATCCTCATTATACGGGTTGACTGCAGGAGGGTTTAGAGGGTTTGGGAGGCTTGCAGGACGTCGGCGGGCTGGAACAGCAGGTCGCGCACGGCGGCGACGCACCTGGGCGCCGCAGCGGCGGTCGGAAACTCGGTCCAGAAGTCAGAGAGGCCCTTGCTCCGAATATCCCTGTTGCCGCGAACAAGGGCCGTGTGCGAGGGAGGGGAAGCGGCGACGCTCGCCATGTCCCCTCGGGGCAGCCGGAGACAGGGGCGAAGTTGGCACAGCGCCTTCGCGAACCCCAGGCCCGATTCGGGAAGGCGCGGAGCCCAGCCAGGTAGCAGAGCTGGGCATCGCCAGTGGAGAGGCGGGCTCGAGCCAGGTGGTCGTGTCATCGCCACTCCTCGGTCTGCTCCGGGCCCAGGCGACGGTGATTATCGACGGCCTGAGCCGCATCGGTGAGGCAGAGCTCCAGGATGGGTGTGGACGCGGCTTGCGCAGAGGGGCGGCCCTGAAAGAGGGGGAGCACTGGCACCGGAGGCGGCATCGGACGACGCGCCCTCCGCGTCTCAGGCGATCGCAAACATGGATCAAGGGGGCGTGGATTAGCGACGGGCCCCGTTTCCATGGGAAATCGCGGATTCCCGCCGCCGAGCGAGGCGGCGCCGGCCGCATTTTGAAGAGGGCACCTCCCCCGATCCATGGATTAGGCGACTGCGCGCCAATTCCATGGATCGCTAATCCATGTTTGCGCGCCCCCGAGCGTCGGAAGGGACGGAGCTGGCGCTGCCAGCCGAGGCGGCAGGGGCCCCAGCAGCAGGGGCGGCGGCAGTCGGCCAGGGGGTGCGCGTGGACCGCGCGGGCTGGCAGCCCAGCCAGGGCAGGCCGTCGGCCCAGGTCCGCTTCGAGGAAGGCCAGGCAGAGGGCGGGGCCGCGCAGGATCCAGCTGGGGTTGGGTCGGGCATGTCCTCTTACAGGCGGATTTTGGAAGAAAGGTAAAGAATACCAACAAAGTACGCAAATAAGTTCAAAAATAGGCAAAAAATCGTCCCCATTTTTTCTGACCGTTTTCGAATATTCCTCCTGTCGAGCGACAAGCCCGACTGAAAGCTGGGGGCGAGGGTGATCCAGGAAAGCGCGCCGGAGGTGCTTTGACGCTGCAGATCCAGGTGTGGTGGGGAGGGCCCCAGAGACGCGGTCGCGGCCCCGCGCGCAGCGTCTGGGCGGAGTCAGTCGCAGCGGAAACGCACGCGGCCCAGCCTCAGAGGCCACAGCATTGCCGTCCGCGACTGGATGACGGAGGGGAGGGGAGGGTGGAGACGACCAGCCGACCGGCGAGATACGCGACCTACAGGAAGGGCAAGCGCGCAACCGACGTGAGCGAGTTACAGCCGTGAGAGCCAGGGGAGGAAGCACAAGGGGATGCACAATTTGCGCGCAGGAGTGAAGTGGAGAGGGTAGGCGCGGAGATGGCGGGAGAGGCGAAGAAGCCGGCAAAATGCCAGAGTGCCGTACGCCCGCGGCTCGCGGCTCGCGTGGCTTCCAGACGCGCCGATTGAGCTCGCGGGAAGGTGGCCGCTTCATATCCGGAGGAGCGCCAGCCGAGCTGGAAAAGACACACACACACACACACATTTCCTCTGCGTCTGCGCGTGCGGCCGCGGGCCTGCACCAGTCGCGAGCCATGGCCAGGGCGCGACTCGAGCAGCAGATGGGTTGAGGTACCAGGGTCAAACGGGACGAGATGATGAACGAGGTGCACCGTGCACCCCCCGCGCGCGCGCAGGCCGTAGCGGCAGGAACCATCGCGGTCCGCGGAGACCCTCGCCCCCACCCAGGACGGGCGTTCGAGGGGGCGCCCCAGGGAGTTTACTCGGTAGGCGTGGTGGTCCGAAAGCGCTTGCACGCAGGGCTTCCCCAGCGCAAGACGACGGCTCGCACGTGGGGGAGGCCGAGAGGAGGCCCTGGAGCGCGAGCGCAGCGAGCCCCACGGGGGCAGGTCAGCGAGGCAGGAGCCTCGAGCGAAGCGCAGAGGCAGCCAGCAGCACGGCGTGTGCACCGCGGCGGCACGTGCAACGGGCCAGGCAGCGAAGGCCGCGCAGCGGGCGGGGGGCGCAGCAGAGGCCACGAGCGGGAGCTAAGCGCACGCGCGGGGCCACGAGGGCCGGGCTCCGAGTCCCCGCTGGAAGGCAAGCTTGCTGCCAGCAAGGGCACCGCCCGCGGCAAGGAGGCAGCTGGGGCAGCCTGGGAGAATCTGACCCCCCCCCGCTGGGACCGGCGGGCGGCAGGGCTGGAGGCCTGGCAGGACAGCGAGGACACGCGCGGAAGTGGCGAGGCCTCCTTCGGAGCACTGGGGGCTCCGACTCGCCGCCAGGAGCGGTTGGAGGGGGGGGCTCGGAGCCCAGAGTAAGGAAGCCATGGTCCTCCAGAAAGGCGTGGAGGGTGGCCGTGCTCTCGCGGGTGGGGTCCACGTCGCGTTCCCCAGATCGTGTCGGCGGAGCCAGTCGCGCCATGGCCCTGGTGCTGGCCCTAGCCGCAGATGAGTATTGTGGTCGGCATCCGCGCAGTGTAGTCCCTGATCCTGCGCACCAGTACGGGATTGCGTTCGGGGTCACTGTCTGGCGAGCGGTCGGCTGCCGAGTCGCGGACCCCAATGGCTGAGCGCTAGTCCGGTCGGGCGCGGAGCTGGCGCGCCTTCTCGTCGGCCGAAGACGGTCGCCTCGCGGGCTGCTCAGGGAACTTCGGGAGGCCGCCGCGCGACACACGAGGCCGCGGGACCACCCGGCTGCGGCGGGGTGGCACCCGCGGCGGCGCTTGCGGAGCAGCCGTAGCAGGGGAGCCGCCCGGGCTCCTCGCGGGGGTCGCTGTGGGGGCGGGGAGGGTCCTGGGCCACGGGATGCGGCCGGGAGGCGGGGCCTGCAGCGGGGCTCCGGCGGGGAAGCCGCGCTTATCCCGAGCGTGGCCTGCCTGCGCGCGCAACACAAGCAGCCGCACGTTGGCACTCAATTGTTCCGCACACGTCCCAGCACGTCCCTCCATGACCCAGCGACCACATCCAGTCGAGATTCGGATGTGGGAAACTCTGAATCACTGCAATCGCACCTGCACTAGCGGTTCCCGTCGGGGATCATCCGTTGAAATTGGAACGATGCAGAGAAGATGAGCATGGCCCCTGCACAAGGATGACACGCACAAATCGAGAAGTGTACACATGCTTTGCAACACTCGCACCTGCACTGTCTTTTTCCCTGCGTGCGGGCGCCAGAAAGTACGTCTTGTCCGCGGCGGCGCGATGCGCGCGTGCGGCAAACTCAGCTGCAAAGGTGCATGTCAGACCCACACGAACACACTTCCAGTGTAAGTGCGTACGCGAATCGACCCGCGCAATGCGGACTGCTCAAAGCCAAAGTCCGCCGCGCACGGAACGAGTTGTGGAAAAAAAGCATGGCGAATTGCCGGCGATTGTTCGATCAGGAAGTTGCGTAGACCGAATTTCGGAATTGCAAGGCCGATGCGGCACCAACAGGAGAGACAACAAGTGCACGGCGCATACGCTTCGAAATCTTTTGATGCGCCGAGCGGCTCAACTGCGCGCCGAGTCACCTCAGCCCCTCTACAGGTCGACCAGCAAAGCTCTCGCGCACACGAGCGCCCGCGTGATCGTCGTCGTCCCCGACCGACCGAAGGATGGGAGTCAGACGAGGAGGAAGGGTTGGGAAGAAACGGCGGATGAGACAGGAGGGCCAGGCAGTCACCTTCGCAGACCCCACGCTGCTCCGCGGCATCAGCGCCTCCAAAGTTCTCCGCCGCAAGGGCAGCGTCTTGCGCGACAACAGCGGCAGCGAGACCACCTACGCCATGTCCAGAATCGTGGAGCAGATCGACGTCTTCATCTCGCACAACTGGTCCACTCCGCAGTCGGTGAAGTTCAGGGTCCTGGCATTCAGCTTTAACCTGTTGTGGTGCCTATCTCTCAACCTGGTCATTGGCCTGATCTTTATGACCCTGCAGGCCTTCGGTGTTCTGCCCACGCTGGACATGACGTACGACAATGGCGCACAGTACAAGAGCTCACCTTGGAATGTGCTGGTCGGCACTGGCTTCTTTTTCGTGACCATCTTTCACTGGCACGATTTGCGCGCCTTCCTGGGGATTCCAGGGCCGACACTGTTCCTCGACAAGACGTGCATCGATCAGGTGGACGAACAGCGCAAGCGTAGGGGCATCCAGAGTCTGGCCGCTTTCGTCCGCCACTCGAAAAAGATGCTAGTGATCTACAGCGACACCTACCTGCACAAGCTCTGGACAGTCTACGAGCTGGCTTGTTTCATGACCCTGCAGCCCACGTACAGGCTGCGGGTGGTGCCAGTTATCCTGGCGGATGTGATGGTGATGGGTATCAACTTGTTCCTAATCATCATCGTGATGGACCTGATTTCGGACATGAACGCGGTGCACTCAGCGCTTGGGATCGAGAGCTTCGGTGCGGCAAGCTACGTGGCAACCAGTGCGTTGGTCCTCCCGGCCTGTATAATGTTCTGCAGGATATGGCGCAAGTGGTTGCACGAGCTGTCACGCATCCACGAGCAGGCCACGAGCTTTAGCGTCTTTAAAGCTGCGTGCTTCAACGAGGAAGACCGGCCTCTGCTACACAGAAGCATTGCCAAGTTCATGAAGGGTATCGACGCGGTCCCCAAGGACGCGTCCGAGGCGACGGCGCTGGAGGCGTTCGACAAGAAGGTTCACCTCGAGGTGCCGTGGGCGCTGCAAGCGTCGTTGGGCAGGGTGGGCATCCGCTACAGACACGCGTGCGTAATCTTTCTGCCGTTCTTCCTCTACCTTATGGACGGCATTGGGCTGGCACTCAACCAGGCGGTCCCAGCTCGCAACATCTTGCTGCAGCTCGTTGGCGGCTTCACCTCATACTTAGCAGTGTACCCTGCGCTGCTGGCTCTGATCGCCACGTTCATGCGGGTATCGCTGTGGCTGCAGAGGTGCGCGTCCATCTGGGCCAGCTACGTGGCCACAGCTGTGATTATCACCGTGGTGGCGCTCAGCTGGCACGTCGTCGAGGGAATCCTGCGCGTATGGGCCGAGCATAGCACAGCAGGCATCTGCGCTTTCTTGTCCACCTCCGCTGCGATCTTCTTGCTGACGGCATTCATGTACAGGCCATTGATATGAGGTTGCGGCGCGGCATTGCTCGCACCCGTTGTGATGACGAACTTTACAAGTTTCCTCGCCAATTCCTGCAACGCGCACCCGTTGAAATCATAGTTTCTCGCCCTCGGGCAGGGCCTAGGCTTGCTTTCAGACAGCTTCACGAGATAGTCTCGGCTGGGCCCCACGGGGTCGCAAACCCCAACCCCTGGGCGTGGAGAGCCCTCGAGGGCGCCGTCAGAGGCAGCGTTGAGGTGTTGGCACCGCCCATGACTACTCCGAGGCTGTGTCGAGGCCAGCGGGTTCCACCTCCACGGGCCGGCTGTGCACAACCGTGAGCCTTGCCGTCTCCCTCTCTCGACTGCACGTTAGAGTGACCCTTCGCCAGAGTGACCTTTGCTGCGCACCCAGTAGGGCCCCCCGATTGCCGAGTGCGGCGTGATAGTAGCGTCTTGTGCGCTTGTGTTTGGTACCCCCGCGGCCCCCAAAAAGCCGCGCACCAAAGGTCACTCTTGCCCAGGATCACTTTTGCGTGTAGTCGACTCTCTGTCTCTCTCTCTCTCTCTCTCTCTCGCCCCTTCCTCGCCCAAAGATGCTTTTCTTGGCTTTGCGACGAAGTCGGAGGGCGGCCGCCGCCGCTGCCTGTGGGCCTCGGGCAGTCACACGCACGGCCCGCGCGGACCCTCGCACGCACACCTCTTGGGACTCGCCAGCGTGAGGGGGCCGAACGGTTTTACGCTGTCACTGGAAGCGGCTGAAGCACAATTTCGTTGTGCGGATTCTTGCTGTTCTCTCTGTTATTATCCCCGCCGCCTCGCGACCAGCTTGCGACCCGCTCCGTATCTCGCCGGCGACACGCCGACGACTCACCATCTGCCCGCGTCTGCCGCAGGCCCGCGCCCGCCGCGACCCGCCCCGCGACCTGGCCGGCGGCCCACCCACGACCTGTCGCTCGTCTTCGCACTTGCTGGGGCCTACTCTGCGTTTGGTACAAAGCGTGGGGGGGGGGCGCAACCCCCGCTGGCAGCCCAAGATGGACCCCCCGTCGCGGGCAAACGCTGCCGCGCCAAGAATGACCCCCCCCTACTGCAGTGCGCCGACGGGGCGAATCTGACCCCCATGACGCCGCGCGGACAGGTTGACGTTGACCCCCTGTCGGGGGGGGGAGCCCCCTACGCTTAGCACCCAACGCAGAGTATGTAATGTCGTACAGCGTGCTCGCTCGATGTGCTTACACAGAGACCTCAAGCTGCCAGAGCTTGCAACAGCACAGCGACGATTGCGATGACGATGGCGGCAAGAGCGGTCATGTCGTAGATTGAAACGGTAATCAGCTCTGGATGCGCCGTAGACAGCCGACGCGTTCGAGGGAAGACACGGCCGGGTCCGCAAGACCACCCACCACATTGTGAAAATTTGCCTGAAATATACGGTCACCATCCGTTCTGAGAGGTGGACATGTTTCAGAATTTTCTGCGTATCTTGTATCGAAGACGCCTACGGCGAATCACCGCCGCCCCTTGCCTTTCTTGGAAGCGCCTGCGTGGCCGAAAGTTGGGTTTGAGCTTGGCCAAGCTATCGGGCCACGCGTTCCCCGAATGGGTTTCGAAAGCTTTCGGGGAACACGGAGTCGGGCGAGCTTTCGGACCAGGTGGTTTCCGAGCTTTCGGGTTTCCTGGAGGACGTCTTGGAGGGCTCTTGGGCCGTCTTGGAGGCCTCTTGCGGGCCGTTTGGGCCGTCTTAGGTTCGGACCAGGTGGTTTCTGAGTTTTCGGGTTTCCTGGGGGACGTCTTGGAGCTCTTTTGTGCCGTCTTGGAGGCCTCTTCCGGGCCTTTTTCGCCGTCTTAGGCCATCCTGAGGCCATCTTGGGCAGTCTTGGGTGCATCTTGGGGCCATCTTCGCCGTCTTGGAGGCCATCTTGGCCGTCTTGGAAGCATCTTGGCCGTCTGGAGGCCAGTTTGGCCCCTTCGGGCCTTCCTGGAGGACGTCTTGGAGGGCTCTTGGGCCGTCTTGGAGGCCTATTGCGGGCCTTTTGGGCAGTCTAAGGCCATCTTGAGGCCATCTGGGGCCGTCTGGGGTGCATCTTGGAGTCATCCTCGCTGTCTTGGAGGCCTTCTTGGCCGTCTTGGAGGCATTTTGGAGGCCATCTTGGCCGTCTTGGAGGCCATCTTCCGCGTCTTCGGGGCCATCTTGGGCCGTCTTGGGTTCTTCTTGGGGCCCTCTTGGGGGCCTCTTGGGCTGTCATGGGGCCATCTTGGAGGCCACTTGGGCGCTTTTGGGACGATGTTGGGTGCCGATTGGGCCGTGTTGGGCCGTCGGAGAGTTGAAAAGAAGAAAATGCAAAAATCCTTCACAAACATTGGCAAATCAATGATGTTTGCCCTTTCGGGCATTCCTGGAGGACGTCTTGGAGCGCGTTTGGACCGTTTTGGAGGCATCTTCCGGGCCTTTTGGGCCGTCTTAGACCATCTTGAGGCCATTTGGGTCGTCTTGAGTGCATTTTGGGACCATCTGACCATCTTAGCCGTCTTGGAGGCCATCTCGGCCGTTTTTGAGGCATCTTGGAGGCCATCCTGGGCCATCTTGGCCGTCTTGGAAGCCATCGTAGGCCATCTTGGAGCAAGAAAGGCATTGACAGACGGATTTTCGGGAACCTTCCGGGACCCTGGCGGGCTGGGCCGAAGCCGCAGGGGGAGTTCTTTTGGAAAAAGAACCAAAACCAAAACCGACCGGGTCTAGCACGGCAGGCACCCCTGCGATGAATCGACATGGGGCGGCGGATCAAAGACGCTTACGGCGAATCACCGCCGCCCCCTGCCCCTGTGGAAGCGCCTATGTGTCCGACAGTTGGGCTAGAGCTTGGCCAAGCTATCGGACCATGTGTTCCCCGAGTCGGTTTGGAAAGGTTTCGGGGAACCCGGGGGGAGGAAGGGCAGGAGGAGGAGAAGGAGGAAAAAGGAGAAGGGGGAGGATGCCTCTTCGGAGCCTCTTGAGGCACTCTTGGGCTCGATTGGACCATCTTGGGACCGTCTTGGAGACCATGTTGGGGCTATCTTGGGCTCTCTTGGGGCCTCTTGAGGGCCTCATGGGGCCATTTTGGGGCTTCTCGGGGGCTTCTTTGGCCGTCTTATGGCGTTCCTGGCCTGTCTGACGCCGTCGGGAGCCGTTGTGGGGGCCTCTCTGAACCGACTTGGGGCCCTCTTGGGGCGCTTCGGGTCCGTCTTGGAGGCCATCTTGGGCGTCTTGGAGGCCACTTGGGCCGTCTTGGGGCCCTCTTGGGGCCTTCTTGGGAGCTTCTTGGGCCGTCATGGGGCCATCTTGGAGGCCTCGTGAGCGATTTTGGGGCGATCTTGGGGGCCTCTCGGGCCGTCTTGAGGTCTCTGGAAGGCCGGGAAGAAGCAAATGCCAAAATCCTTCAAAAACCTAAGGAAAACCAATGATCTTGGTCTCCTCGGGCTCTCCTTGAGGACGTCTTGGGGGGCTCTTTGGGGCCTCTTGGGCCGTCTTGAACCATCTTGAGGCTATCTTAGGCCGTCTTGGAGGCATCTTGGGCCATCTTGGAGGCATCTTGGGGCCATCTGAGCCGTCTTGGAGGCCATGATGGCCGTCTTGGAGGCCATCTTGGGCCGTCTTGGAGCCGTATGGAGCAGGAAAAACCCTTGGCAACCACCTCTGGGCAATCTGGAAGATCTTTCCGGGTGGCCGGCGGGACAGTCCGAAGCCGCAGGGGGAGTTCTTTTGGAAAAAGAACCAAAACCAAAACCGACCGGGTCTAGCACGGCAGGCACCCCTGCGATGAATCGACATGGGGCGGCGGATCAAAGATGCTTACGGCGAATCACCGCCGCCCCCTGCCCCTTTGGAAGCGCCTCTGTGGCCGACAGCTGGGCTAGAGCTTGGTCAAGCTATCGGGCCAGTTGTTCCCCGAGTCGGTTTGGAAAGACTTCGGGGAACGCGTGGGGGAGTAAGAAGAGGAGGAGGGGGAGGATGAGGAAAAAGAGGAGGAGGAGAAGGAGGAGGCCTCTTGGGGCACTCTTGGGGCCTCCTGGGAGCTTCCTGGGAGCCTCTTGGAGGGTTTGGGGGGGATTTGGGGAGCTTCTTGGGGGCCTCTTTGACCGTCTCAGGGCGTTCCTGGCTTGTCTGACGCCGTCGGAAGCACTCTTGGGGGTTTGTCTGGGTCGTCTTGGGGCCTTCTTGGGGCAGATCAGGGGTTCTTATAGGCCATGTTGGGCGTCTTGGAGGCCTCTTGGGCCGTTCTGGGGCCCTCTTGGTGTTCTTGGGCGATATTGGGGGCCTCTTGCGCCGAGAAGAAGCAAATGCCAAAATCTCTGGGGGGGGGGAAAAAACTAAACAAAACAAAAAGCAAAAAAAAAGTATATAATATATATATATATAATAATAATAATAATAATAATAATAATAATAATAATAATAATAATAATATATAAACAACAAAAAAAATCGGGCGGAAAGACCCCACATGATAATCTTCTCGGCTAATATGGAAGAAGACCTCACCGTCGGCCTGGTGATTGGTGAGGCATCCTTACTGTCCCTTCTGCGTATATATCTTCTCGCCCTGGCGCAGGCCCTCCTCCCGCTCCCTACGTTTCCCCCATCCTCGCCCTCCTATTTTCTCGCGCCCGCCACCCCCCCCTTTCTATTGCATGAGCGCGCATGTCGATTTTCCTCGGCGCCGTCGCCGTCTCGGCCAGCACGGGCGCGTTTTCGAATTGCCACGTCGCGCAGCCGTTGGGACAACCCCGCGGGCCAGGACGTCGGGGCAACCGCGCGAGCCGCTGGCGCGCAAGACCAAGCCGTTGGGACAACCCCGCGGGCTTCGAGCGGGGCGCAGCCGCGCCCAGGCGGGAGGCAGCACGAAGCTCAGCTCTGCCGCGAGCTGCTCCGCCTCCGCCCTGGACCACTCCGCTATGTTGTCGAACTCTTCGAGCGCCTTCCGCAAGGACGCTGGCGGCCCTCGCTCCTGGAGCTCTCGCGGCGGCGGCCGCAGGAGCAGCATGGTC